TCACTTGGCCATACGCATTTGAGAAGAGATCGAGTTTGAGAGAGAGAGGATAGGTGTAGGATCTACAGGAAGATAAAGGAGGCCTAGAGGGGGTGAATAGTCCTGTAAAAATTCAACTCAAAACTCTGTCGAGCAGCAGGGTGGCACTTGCCGCTCTTGAAATAAATCTAACACAGCTAAGATTTTACAGAGATGAACTCACCCCATTAGTCGCTTAATCCTCAATAATAAAAGATAAGATCCAGTTCAAGACCTGAATACCACGAAACTCCACACAAGAGTGGATTGAGCAACCAAACCCTAACACCAGCTACGAAAGAGCTAAACCAGCAAGTAAACAAGATGAAGCACACGAGATACAAGATTTATCCCGTGGTTCAGCTCACCACAAATGTTTGCCTAAATCCACGTTGTTGAGGAAGCCACAAAAGGCTTGAGCTTGCCACAAAGGCTTGCCTTACCCTCGTTCTTAAATCAAGAGGATGAACTCTTGAAGTGAGAGGTGATTTCTTAGCTCTGAGAATGAGGTTACAAACCTCCCAAGGTTGCCACACGAGTTGGCAAGTCCAAGGGCAACGCCTAGCCAGCTAGGAGCAAGCTCCAAGAGTAACAAACCCTAGAACCGTCGGCCAAACATGAACCAAATGCTCTTACACTTTGGGAATCAGTGGATCTGCTCTCCAATTGAGTTTTGCTGCCTTTTCTCTCAAGTTTTGATGGTTGGAATCAAGGATTTGCTTGAGGGATGGAGGAGCAACAATGGAGGAGAGAAGGTGAGCTTTGGTTCTGTTCTGTTTCGAGCAGAATGTCTGAGTGAAGTAGATGACCGTTGTGGGCTGGGCCTGAAGGGTATAAATATCCCTTGGGTCCAATGGTCGGTTAAGGGCGGCACTGCCGCCCTAGCCAAAACAGGTAAGTTGAGCTGAAATTTGGTTGGCTGTTTTGACTAGGTGAGAGGATGTAAATCTGAGAATTTGAGCATCTGGTTCAACAGTTGACCAACTGTCCTAAAACCCCTTTTAATAGTACGGCTTTCCCTAAACTCAATTTCAAAACATAAAAGAATTTAAACCTCCTTTGAGCTAGGTCTAGCCACCTTTTGTAATTAGGACACCTGCAACCTGTACATCATCCTCATTTTTTTATTCCCTGCTTGTTATCTCGATAAATCTCATTAGTCCTCTAATTTGGTGGTCATCAATGCCAAAATCCACAATAGGGCTTGATTGCACTTATAATAGGGATGAGAGGGGTATTATGGACATTTTGACTGACCTGACCCACTTGTCATGACTCCCAAATGGTGAAAAACGAACAGAACACCGACGGAATGGCTTGGAGAGCAAAGAAGTTCAGAACGATGGCACTCGTGTGCAGTTAATTTTTTAATGGCTTGTGTGTAATTACAAACTGTTTTAATAACATACATGTAAAAGCCTCAAAGGAGTTCATCTCACAGACCCATAAATTAAACCTAAATGAGTTCATCTCATATCAAATAAAAGTGACCACATCTTGCAAAATATCATTCATCCAATATGTAGCCTTCTCTTTGGAGTCATCTTCTTTGGTGCAGGTGCAGTAGGTATCCTCATCGGAGTAGTGGTGGAGGTATGTGAAGAACTGTCCTCTCCCACTAAAAAAGCAAGATGACTGCACAAATGTGTGTAATGACAATTAGACAAATCTTTTTATTTGTTTAGAGTAAAATGACATAGGTTAAATGTGTTACTATTTCGTACCTTCTCGTTATCCTTCCTGAACTATCCCGTAGTATTTGTTCTCTTGTTGGCCTTGTGGGGTGCTAAGCCTATGTGGATTCTCTTTTGTAACATTCTTTTTAGGTCACGCCTCTTTCTACAAGTTCAAAAAATAATATTTGTAATGACATGGTGATTCAAGGGTTGCAACAAAAAATAGGACTTGCCTCTTTTTCTTTGCCCCATTGAGTGGACACTTGGAACTAGCTTTGCCTGTGACCCTTTTCACCGCATTTCTTGCAAGTCATTGGGCCTCTAATCATTTTCTTCCCTTTAGCATTAGTTGGTGCAGTATCATTATTTGGAGCAGTAGCATTGTCACCTTCTACATCTTTAGCACATTTCTTCTTATTGCCACCTTTAAGACATCCTTTCAACCTGAGTTTTCTTCGTCTTCCCATATTTTCTTTAGCAAGAGGAGCACCAACAACAAATGGCAACTCCACTTGAGGCCATTGTGTTTTTTATCCGTCATTGGCTCAATCTCTCTACCATAAGCAGCCTTTGAATCTATCCACCGAGTAATACTCTTGCACAAATTGTTCAAGGTCAACTCCCTGCTGTGTGGTTATAAAGGCCAATGCATGTTGACATGGCTTACTAGTGTGTTGCCATTCAAGACAAGTACAAGTCCGTTGATTTAACTTCACAATATGCCTTTCAACTTTCTTGCTATTGTCCCAGACCTCTGCACTCCAATTAGCATATGCATGTATTTTCAAGTGTCCCAACCCTCTAGTATTTGCCTTTAGCTGAACCATAATACTTTGAAGTATCCTGCCAGCTGGTAGCCTATCTCCAATATTTCTTCTTTTGTTCCACAATTTCATGATCATCTCTCCGACCTGCAAATTACATAATTAATATCGAACATATACATTTAAAAAAAACACATGTATGAAAAATATAGGTAGCTATATTCACCTTATCCATAAGTTCAACCAACACGTAAGTCCTTGATGTCTCTTATCCAATTATTAAAAACCTCTCGCTATATTATTAGTGATGTAGTCACACTTAATTTCTAGATTAAAGACACACCTATACCACAACAGCTTATGGTAGTCTTTTAACCATTTCAACACTTCTTCAGATTCAAAGAAGAATTGCTGCCATGTGATCATAGAATATTTCTTCCCTATAAGCCCTTGCCATGGGATACATCTTGCCAAACCCTCCTAACCTTTTCTGAAAATTTTTCATAAGATGAAGAAAGCATTCTCTTTGCTCTACATTAGGAAACACATTCTTTACTGCATTCTCTAAGCCCTTACATGCATCCGTGCACACAGCAAGGAGTGGAGGATCACCTATTGCCTTCTTAAGTTGATTCATAAACCAAGTCCAGTTGTCTTCCGTTTCAGAAACTATGAACCCATATGCAAGTGGGTACATCCAATTGTGACCATCAACTGCTATAGCCGAGGCTAAATGACCATTCCATCTTCCATTAAGTGCTGTAGAATCTATGCTCAAGTAAGGCCTACATCCTTCCAAGAAATCATCAATGCATGGTTTAAGAGCACAGAAAAAATGATGGAAATATACATTACCATCCGCTTTAATTACTTCAATCTCCACTACACTTCCAGGTGACCTCTTCAGTACCTCGGCCTTCCATCTGAAGAGTAGCTCAAAACTCTCTTTCCATTTACCATAAACCTCGGCCAGAGCTATTTCTCTACCCCTCCATACCTTGTCATATGAAATTGTGACAGGGTGATCTTTTTGCAACTTATCTTGCAATTCTTTAGCACCCATATTGGGAGAATCCCTAAGGACACTCACGGCCTTGCTAGCTACCCATTTCTGAGAAGTTGCAGTAGTTTTCATCCTCATGGATAAACACATGTATGGTGATCAGTTAAAGCTGTGACCTACAAATTACACAAGTAAGAAGAAACAAATAAATTTATGAAAATCACACTAATTTTTAGGAATATAGCTAGCTATATTTACCTTCACGGTGCTTTGGCCTTTATGTTTGCTGGCATTTATTTTCCAAGGGCAATCATCACTAGACTTGCAGAAACCTCTAAATCTCTCCTTATCAGAGTGTGCTGTCCCTAATTGAAACTCCTCATTGATTGCAAATTGTCACACTGCCAACCTGAACTCGTCCATTGATGGGTGCATCGTACCAAGATTTATTTGTGGGTGATCCTTATCATATGAAATAACCAACTCAGTAGGTATGTCATCATTATCAGGAATCACAACATCATCGTCATGACTACCATCCTCAACCATTACATGATCATGTGATCCAGCTACCTTTCCTACCTCCTCGTCTCTCAAGCCTAAAAACACGTACATCTGATCTTCACTCAAAAGTTCGATTCGTCCTTTCTCATCATGTGTTTCTATGATCTGCAAGCTATCCCAATCAACTGGTGGCAAAGTTTCCACAAATTCTAAATCGGACCTGACAAACCATATTAACTTCATCAAACTGCACTTCAGACAGGAATTGGGAGAATAGGAGTACAGTCGTTCATCGCATACCTATGTACGGCAGGCAGTGGGGTCGGCCTCGGCGCGTCGTGCTGCAAGGCCGGAGACGCGACAACGGGCAGCAGGGCTCTTACCGTAGCGATCAAGTCCCCCTCAGCGATGGGGTGTGCTACGGATCATCGTGCAGAGGCAAGCACATCGGGTCATGGAGGAGGCACGCCACGCAAGCACGTTGGACAATGCGGCAACACGTTGGCCGGCGGGGTCATCTCGAATGGCGGCAGCACGTCATCCATGGAGAGCCAGCTAGGGCTCGCGTGCGAAAAGAGAGAAGACGAATAGACGATACGAATGGCGGCGGCCTGTATGTTACGTGAAATTAGCGTCTCAATTAGCACAGGGGCACTTTTGTCTAGATTTTAGGAGAAATAAAGAGAAAGAAGAAGAAAAGGTAAAATGATAAAGAAAACAAGAAGCAATTGTTTTAGGTGCTATTTTTACGAAAACAATGTTTCGGATGCTAGTTTTGCGAAGCGCATTGTTTATCTGCTAAAAATGCATTTTTCTCCCGTTTTAGATGACCCGAGTTAAGTCCATGCATCAATCAACAGTAATGCTCTTATACAAATTCAAACAGCTAGGCGCCCAACGGCGCATGCAATGCAATTTACCATATCCAAATGCGCTATTGTGTGTTACATAAAAATCTCATATTGTACTAGTTACAATGGCATGAATGAATATACGTATACACAAGCACAAGAAGGCTACAAAATAAAGAATTCATCAGGCGCCATTCCGTGCCTTGTGAAATCCTTCACTGCGCCGCTGCTGCATCGCCACCACGGCGGCGGACGCATTTGGCACGGCCTTTGTCGTCGCCACCGACACGTCGACGGCCCTGTGGCTGGCGCACCCCGCCAGAATCCCGGCCGGCCGGTGCCCCCGCAGCTGCCTTCCGGCGACAGGAGGACCCCTCGCGCCGCCGCCGACCCATCTGGCGGGGACGCGGTCGCCGCGCTCCGATGCGTCCGCGGTCACCACGCTCCACTGGATGCTCGCCTCGCTCGGCTCGTAGGGGCAGTCGCCGATCATCAGGCTCTTGATCTCGAACAGGTCGGAGCTCGACTCGCTCCCGGCGTCGTCGTCGTCGTCGTTGTCGTGGAGATGGTGCGCGCCACCGCCACCGCCACGGCCAACTTTACCTGCTCCGCCACCTGGCTCGCCGACGCGGCCGCCGCTCGCCGGCACGTTGGCTCTGACCGGAGCCACAAGAGTAAAGTTGCTTCTCCTACTCGTAGAACTTGAGAAGGTGAGCTCAGCGGCCTCCTTCTCCTCTCCTGTCGTCACCTGCCTCCCGATGGCTGCCACTTTCGCCGTCCCAAGATTCAAGCTTGGCGGGAGACCGGCGGCCACCAAGCCATGGCCATTGGTATTGCCATCCCCGGAGAGCCCGAGGGCGGCCTTGTGCATCCTCAGCTCTCTGTACCAGTCCATCCCGGTCGCCGCCGCCGGCTCGGCGTCGTCGGGGCTTCCTTGGCCGCGCAGCCGTCGTCCACGCGCACCGACCGCTTCCCGGAGCACGTGCGCATGAGCACACCGACCTGGACGCAGCACCTGTTGTCGCGGGAGCTCCGCCGTCGATGGAGCCCGCCCCGGAAGAGCGCCGTCTGGCTGTTGGCGCTGGACGCCGAGCTCGCGGTGAAGCTCACCGTCGACGCGCGCGTCGAGGACGGCTTAGCCAATACCACGGCCTCCGGATCCGCCGCCGGCCTCGCAGCGGCCGTCTCCACCAAGGCCTGCTGCACCTGCACCGCTACCGCGGGGGTGGTGACACTGAAACCTTCCTTGCGGTCCCCGTCGCCGTCCATTGCGCCTCTGAAGTAGCGCTCGGCGGCGAACACGTCGAGCTCGCCGTCGGCGTACGTGTGCCGACGGCTCGCCATGGCATGCGCCGGCAACGGCCGCGGCGTCGCGCGGCCACCGTCGGCGTCCCGGCCCATGTCAAGGTACGACGACAAGGAGCTGCTGCCGTTCCGGCGCCTCCCGCTGATGGCGTCGTCGAAGGTGACCACCCTGCCGCCACCATTTCCCGATCGGCCCATCTCCATGGTGCAACCAACACACACCAGTACAAGGATGAAGAAAATGGCGTCGCCAAAGGAGATGGTGTGAATAGGCGCACTTATATAGACATCACTACGCATCACCAAAATAAAATAAAGATAAAAATGTATGGACACATAAATTTCATCAACTGTTCATGTACGAAAACTACTCCTATATATCATAATAATTCAATTCAACAGACAAACCTAATTGCCAATTTGTCTGCATGAAGGAATAACTGCAACGGCAACAGGGAGGAGATGAGGAGGCTGTGAAGTTTGCTCTGCTGGAGCACCGATGGCCATATGTTTCTTTTCGCAGCGTTTTATGATCCAAAATTGAAATTGAGACGGTAGCTGCAGCCTTGACACCATCCATCCGCATAGACACAGGAGCTTGATGCCGCCCTGACACTCATGCTAACAACTAAATTTGAAACTGTTGTGCAGCATGACTCCGACAGTGACCTGCGAAGGCGACAAGGAAACCATTGCTGTTCGTCAGGGAAAAAGAAAAGCACAATGAGACACCAGACAAATTTGAACAACAGTGATGCTTTTCGTCTCCAGGTAACACTTGGGATGCATGATAAGGGTCTTTATCTTGCGAGACGCTGATTTCCCGGTGGAAAATAAACAAATATATGTGAATTTACGAACCGGATTTTCTGAATTAAGGAGGCCAGCCGCGTTTTCGGCCCCCAAATGAGAGGTGAAGGGAAGCACAAGGTACTATCTGGAACAGTGGGATCAAGACAGTCTGGTGTCTTATGCAACAGTTGAGCTGTAGGCGTGTACCATGGAACAGTTCATCAATCTGCTCCACAAACCGCTCTTACTGTTCAAAATCTGCTCTGTTGTCATCACTGACGACATCTAGGGGTCTTTGGTTTGCGGAACGAAGTGGTTATCATCATTTCACTCTTTAGTTTTTTTGTTTGATTTGTGGAATAAAATGAGTTGATCCATCGTCGCTTCATTCCTCACAAGCTAATAACTAGTACCATCACGATGAATCGAGTCATTTCACTAAATTTAAGGAATAGACCGAATAAAACACACCACTAGTGTTTTCAACAACTGTACCATGCACAGAGATTGGAGATATTCTTCGCTTCTGGGAAGATAACTGGTTTGGACACTCTAGCTATCTACAGCCTGTTCGGTACCGCTGGCTGGATCGTGGATTATTACTGCTGGCTGGTTTAGTGTGAAAGAAAAATATTATTCTGACCGGAAGACACTGTTTATGTGAACAGTGCCCGCGTGAGAGGGCTGGCCAGCACCAGCCAGCCAGCCGCTCCAGCAGAACAGGCTGCTAGTTTTGGCCGCTATATGTGATTGTAAATGAAAAGACTAGTACTATAGCAGATTGTTGGGATGCAGAGCAGCTCATATTTACTTTTAATTAGTAGCGTTGTGTCTCAGGGTCTGATGAATATGTGGGAGGGCCTTGTCCAGATAGCTGAGAGCATAATTTTCACTAATGATAGTGATGAGACCATTTGGGCTTATAACTCTAATGGCATATATTCATTTCAATCCTTATTTTTCTTTCACTTTTATTAACAGGGAGAGAGAATTACATCCAACAACGATCCACGATCCTAGTAAGTCTGAACTTGCCAAGATCGTTGAGCGGAAGGCGCGACCTACACAACACTTGCGAGACGAATCTCACAAGAATCACCATAAGAGTTTACGTTATTACAGGCAAACAATCTGCGACCAGGCGCAGCTAAGTATAGAGAAATGGAAATAACAAAGTGACAACTAAAGCGACAATAGGTGAACGACCTAAGCTACAAAGACCTCCACACAACTCTCCGCCAGCGGTGACCGGTGAGCACAAGGGGCACAGCCACCTTCTTGGAGCCATGATGCTTGATGACTTGATGAGCATCTATCATAATAAAGACCCGACCACTGCTTGACGCCTAACATCTTGAAATTCTTCACCAATAAAAGCCCACGGTTAGGAGTTCAGTCCTTGTACTCAATGATCACCTTTACAGGGGTTAAGCCAGTAGTTTATGTTCCACCTGTTTGGAAGCTCGCTGTCACTCCCCAAGTTCATATCGACCTGTTAACTGGAGATAACTTGAGTAAAAGAAGGAAGATAGACGATCAGTCATGTTTCTTTCGCTGTGAAAAATAATCAGTTGAACATCTTTTCTTTGATTGCATTATTGTTTGCAAAACCTTTGGGGTATTATCACTACTTTTATGAATGTAAAAGTGGGTGTTGACTTTGAGTTAAATGGTCGCTGGTTGGTGAGTAACAAGAAAGAAAAACTTTTGAACTGTGTGCGTTGCTGTGTTATGGTGCATTTGGCAGAAACATAATGATCTATCTATCTTTTCATGGCAAGGCGTGGAAGCATCTGAACCAACTGATGGAAGACAGATGCAACTCTTCCGTGTGTTTTTGAGAAGAAAAAAAAAGAGGTAGATAGACAATATTATTGGAAGTTTGGAGGTGGCAACAAGAGCTAGCATCACCAAGAATCGGCTGGGTCTGGACGAAATCAGCTTCAGGTTGGGGAGCTTTGGTAGTAGTGTCGAGACGGCTGGAGCAGGACTTGGTCGATGCGATCTGCGGAAGTTCAGTAACGCCTCGGAGCACTGATACCCTGCCTGGTGCGGTGACGGCCAACACAACACATCAGTGATGCTCTTTACCTCCGTTAGTTAGTCGTCCTGATAATGAGGACTGTGAGATTAGCACTCAAACAGTATATCGACCACGGGAAGTGCGGCATCTGCAGCTTGGTCTCCTAGCAGGGCTTGGACTTCAGTTTGGTATCTCTTTTCTATTGACCTGTATTTTGGAGGTGTTACATTCGGTTGGTAGTTTAGTCGCGTGGAGATTATCTGCATCTTCAAGTTGTAATGCTTGTTTTGAAATTCTGTCTGTTTCAGGCCTTCTTTGGAACACGATTTTTTTGCAATGGATTTCACGGAATTTTCACTTGGATATCAAGCAAGATTCAGGACCTGTTGGAACAAAATAAAAGACAATAGAAATTTAAGAAGATTCCAATCCCATAGGAAAATTTCTTATAAACCTCTTTGGAACCGAGGATTTAACTCAATGAAATTCATTTGGATTCCTATGGGATGCAATAAGTCAATGAGAATTTTTAGAAGAAAACTAACACGAGGGTAAAACTTATGCAAAATTCATTCGTGTTTCTGTGAATTTTTCCCTTGTTTCTTTCGTGCTTCCCATGTTTCTAGCTGTTAAACCCTCAATATGGCCTTTGGATGCAACAAGGGAAAAAATCAAGAATCTATAGAGATAGAAACACGAAAATTTTAAAAATTATGCAAAATTCTTGAATTTATAGGCAACAAACATGAATTTCACAGAAAACGGTACCTTTTTCACAGGAAAGACGTAGTAAATTGAAAATTAAAATCCCTCGCTCCAAAGAATGCCTTCATCTGGACTCGCAAGTTTCGTACAACTGTGACCCTACGTTTTTTCTGTCCTACGTTTTGAGAATCCTTAGTTTAAAAGAGAGAAAAAAAATCCCTTGTTCCAAAGGAGCTGTAGATCTCTTTCTCCCAACAACCATACGAAATTTCCCTGAAAAAGGGAAAGCAGAGGAGAAATAACACAGCAGTAGCATTAGCATTAATGAAGGGTTATCCATACTTAAGACTCCGTTTGGTTGCCTCCATTAGTCTGTATCCAACAGGCACTCCTCAATATGCTTCAACCAGATCGTTAAAACTATGCAAGCATTTGTTCGAGTAATAAATGTGGGTGTATCCTGTTCTCTCAAAAATAATTGTCGAATTGAATAAAACTGGTGGGTTAAGGTACCATGATATGATATGAGACACTGAAAACCTGTGTTTGGTAGAGTTTTGTCTGTCCGGTTCCGCTGCATGCATCCAAACTTCAGAGTCCGGAGCTATGCGCCAATCTCAAATGGGCGATTTGGAGCCTCATGGTTGAAATAAACGAATGATCAACGATTGACGGGTGTGATTAGCACTCAGACAGTATATTGACCGCGTGAAGTGCGGCATCTGCTGTTTGGTCTCTTAGCAATGCTTGGATTTGAGTTCGTTCCCCTTTTCTCTTGACCTGCATTTTGGAGGTATTGTATTTGGTAGGTGGTTTAGCCGCATTGATATTATCTGCATCTTCAAGTTGTAAGGCTTTGTTTTGAAATTTTGTCTGTTTTCAGGCCTTCTTTGGAACATGAGATTTTTGCAAAGTGGATTTCACAGTATTTTCGCATGAGTCAATTCAATTCTTGCAAGATTCAGGCCCTGTTGGAACAAAAAAAAACACAGAAATTTAATAAATTCCAAACCCATAGGAAAATTTCCTATATACCTTGTGGGAACAGAGGAACACCGTATGAAATTTATTTGGATTCCTATGAGATGCATGAAGCAATAGGAACTTTTGGACCAAAACTAATATGAGGATATGCAAAATTCCATTGTGTCTCTATCTTTATAGATTCTTGAATTTTTCCCGTGTTGCATCCAAAGGCCACACTGAAACCCTCTAGATTTTTATTTGGCCCCTTTGAAATGCATCGAATTTCACAGGAATTCGATTTATTTTACGTGAAAAGTGCAGTAAATAGAAATAAAAATCCCATCTCCTAAAGAAAACATTCATGTAGGAAGTTCCATACAACAGCGACCCTATCGGCCTATCCTATGTTCTAAGAATGCTATGTTAAGAGAGAGGAAAAAAATGGAAAATCCGTCTTTCTTCCAACTACCATATGAAATTTCCCTGAAAAAGAAAAAGGAGGAAAGAAATAGCAACAGTGGCGGCGTCAGCATCAATGAAGGGTTACCCGTACTTAAGTGTGGCCCTAGAAGCAAAATGGCAATTGTTGAACACTACTTGCCAGAAATGAAAGAAAAAACGGCAATACAAAATGCAGACAAAGGAGATAGAAATATATATTAAAAGAAAAACTCATGGATGTCGCCCACGATGTTTTTCGTGCAATATTTGAGGTGAC